AAAAAAAAATATGTATTCCAAATTATAATAATAACAATTCATAAATAAATCTTTGTACGTATGTATCTATATGATGACAAAAATACAAAATTATGGAGGAACTTTGAGGAAAAGAAATAAATTATAATTTTCCTTTAACTAGTTGATGAAAAATACAGGCTTAATTTTTTAGATAATTAATTTTACCTTTAATATCCTTACCAAATTTTGATAAACAACTCATCCCTAAAATCAATTTATTCAAGTGACATCTCTATCTCTACACGTCCACTCAGTTAACAAAATAATAATTTAACAATACATCAATTTTTTATTATTAAATTAAATCTAAAGACATGAGAGATGATGATATAATATAATTAGAAAATACTTAAATTCTTCTTTATTCAGAATCAAATCTTTTTTTCTTCACCACTAAAAATTGACAATTCAGTGTTTAAAGTAAAAAAAATTTGCTTTTTTCTTTTACATTTTTATCTTATAATTGTCAAACATTTAACGTTGCCGAACAGGACCATATATTTTGTATGATATATTTAGCGAAAAATAAATAATGGGAGAAGTAGGGAAATAAATACAGAATATAAAAAATAAGTATTCAGAGGGAGGGAAAGAAAAAGAGAAACAAAAAGCACCTTCATAGGGCCCATCAAATGTCCCCTCTGAGGATGTGATTTTTATCTTTCTTCTCCACTCCACTCCAATAAACCCCATCCTTTTTTTCTTTCTTTTAATTTTTTACCTCCAAATTTTCCTACTTTTTTTTTTGGAATTAAAATTTTCTAATTTGTCATTTCTTGCCAAATTTGCATAAGAATTTCTACCCATTAAACATTACTCTTCCCCTCTCTCTTTCTCTCTCTCTCTCTCTCAGATCATCATGTCAACCGAAGCCAGAAAAGATTCCACGGAAGCAGCTGGGTCATCGTCGTCGATGAGGCCCGGCGCGGCGGCGGATCACCCGACGACGGCGCTGAGCCGGTACGAGTCGCAGAAGCGGCGAGACTGGAACACGTTCGGGCAGTATCTGAAAAATCAAACGCCGCCGGTGGCGCTGTCCCAGTGCAACTGCAATCACGTGCTGGAATTTCTCCGGTACCTGGACCAGTTCGGGAAGACCAAGGTTCACTTACCCGGGTGCGTGTTCTTCGGGCAGCCCGACCCGCCCGCCCCGTGTACCTGCCCGCTCCGCCAGGCCTGGGGCAGCCTCGACGCGCTGATCGGACGCCTCCGAGCCGCCTACGAGGAGCACGGCGGATCGCCGGAGACCAACCCCTTCGGAAATGGAGCAATCAGAGTTTATTTACGCGAAGTGAAGGAGTGTCAGGCAAAAGCAAGAGGAATTCCGTACAAGAAAAAGAAGAGAAAAAGAGCCCAATTGAAGCCCAATAACGATGATCATCAAGATCACAAAAATCACCTACCTTAAAATCAAATCAAAAAAATTCCACCTTGATCTTCCTCTCAATTTCCTGGTAATTAATTTCTCTCTTCTCTAATTAAATTTGGAATTTATATTATTCATTTTTCTGCGTCCTGCCTGCCTAGATTTATTGTTATTATAATAATACATGACAAAATAATTGATTAATTAAGCTCCAATAAATATATATATATATATATATATAGAATACTTCATTTTCAAACCAATAATTGATGATCAATTAAACTTTTCAATACTTGTTTTGCTTGTTTGTCAGAATATCCAGTGTGGGATTTGGAGTAATTATATAAATTCCAAGAGAGAGGGGGAAAAAAACCCTAGAACCCAGGTCTGAAAAACCCTAATTTTGGATCAAGAAGGTCATATATATAAGATTGTAATGAAAGAATTAGCTGTTACTGTGATGACCAAAATACGCAATCTTGATTTAATACAACAAACAAAACACAGCAGTTCCTCACACAGACAAAGAACTATATATATTGTGGAATCGTACTTTCTCTCTCTCTCTCTCAAATCAAAGAAAAGCACTATTTTTTTTTGGGATTGACTTAATTAAATACTTCATTTAAATTCTCAACTTTTACTAGTTTTTGGCCCTTTTGTGATTCTGTGAGATTTTGTGCCCCCCATGCTCATGCATGGATGGAATGGCCATTATTTATATACATTTATATATGATATGTTTTTGCATGTGAATTTCCCTTGCCTGTGTTTTTTCCTGTCTTCTTCTTCTTCTTCTTCTTCTTCTTCCAATTCATTCTCTTTCTTTTTCCCAGTTTAAAACTGTGCATTTTTTGTTCTAACCCACTTCTTAAAATGTTAAAAAGAAAAAAAAAAGGTCGCCCTTTTTTCTGTCTCTTTGATTGATTTATGTGTGAATCTGAAAGTGAAACGCATATATATTGGACTATGAAACATCATGGGAATTTTGTTCGAAAAACAGTAGTTTTTTTTTTCTGTCGTCTGAGAAATGGATGGTAGGAGATCGATGGAAGTGTTTTTTGTACTGATCCCATAGCAATATGAAGTTGCTGTGGATAATTGTGTTTTATAAATTATTAATTACAAGCCTTTTTTTTTATGGACCCTTATTAATTAGTTTCTTTTTTTCTGTGGCAAATATAGATTTGGGTTCACTTTTTTAATGTCTTAAGATTAGGATATTCTAGTTTTCTGGTTTAGATTTTAAAAGCCTTCTTAACCATTAACACTAGATTCTTCAACAATTGAGAATTTGGACGAAGTTCATTTAAACAGAATTAATTAGTGCATGTTAATTATCATTGTTCAAGAAACATTAATTGGTATATAACTTGGGATATGATCAGATTTTTCTGATTGCATCTTAACATATATAATTTTTGGGTTTGTTGTTATATGATTAGAGATTTAATTTCCCTATTCTGTTTTAGGAAAATCTCTAGAGATTTCCTATGTTGCCTTATATTGTTATTGCATTACAAAAATTTTCATCATTAAGATTAATTGTTGACAGGTTTGTGATGATTATTATTTTGTACTATATTTTCTAAAAATGAAACCCTCTTTTTTAAAAAATAAATAAATAAACTAAACTCCTGAAAAATCTGTTTTCAAAATTTTGGACATATTAATTGGTCTGTGATCAAGAATTAGTTCTTTTCTTATTCTTAGAAATAATGAAAATAGGAAATATTAATGAGTTAGCTGGGCAGTATTGATTATGGAAGTCATTAAAACTACTTCTAGATATATTTCTAAAATACAGAAGGTTTTTTTTTAATAATTAACAGTTACGTTTAATGCTTTCAAATTTTATGAAATTATTGTTATCTATGACATGATACCATAGACTGATCATTTTGATCGATATTATTTTATAATTTATATTTCAATAAGAAAGAGTTCAAATAAATAGAAAATTTAAGTCAACCTAACTATTATCTTTTTTTTCTTTTTAAAGTTTCTACAACCTTTTAACAGACAATATGTAATTTCAAATTTTTTGGATTTTAAAAATATTTTTGGAAAAGTTGCGATCAAATTTATTTTAGATTTTTTTTTTCAAAAATAATTTTCCTGCTTTCAATACTTTATTTTATTTGAGTTCAAATGATATAATGATATATGACTTATTTAATAAACTATTTTCGAATTAGCTACTTTCAGCGTGGTTAAAGTTTATTTTTACATCACAAATCAAACTAKGTTTTTTATATTTCATCTTCAAATAGAATAAAATATGTGTTTTCTCTAAATATTTTTTCTTAAAAAAAARAGGTTTAATTCTAATGGTTTTAAGTTTAAAATTTTAAATTCTCTACCTAGTCTCTAGATATAATAATTTATTATGGTTTGATAATTAATATTATTTGAATTAAATGTCGTTTATAAACAAAGAAAAAGTATATTTGGCACTAACGGCATTTTAAATTTATATGTATTGCGGGAATATTAGTGATCAAGATATTACTATTTTTCTTATTTTTTTCTAGTACAAATACGTGTGGTGTAGATTTGAACTCATAATTTTTTGTCAGAAATTGGTGTCTTAATTAACCAATTGAGTTAGGTCTAGGCTAGTCAATTAAGATTGCAATATATATACTTCTTCRCTTAAGTAGAAGATTAAATTCTGGTGCGGAATGTATTTGTGTCCCACATAATTTATCATTATCTTCTCTTCTATCTTAATTCATGTAATTTCTCCTTTAATTTTCATTTACTTAATTACTTTCAAATCAATTCAACCATTTTTTTTTTTTTGAGGACAAATGAATTCAACCATTTGGAACTTAATTAGTTGTTTGCTTTGGATACCATTGTAATTAATGTGTGTTAATATAGTTATCAGTTCCAATTTCATGAAATTTGGGGCCCATTTTTGCTAACGTTTGTTTACGTTCTCTCTCTGTTTTTTTTCCTTATAAAAAAGTTAACATTARAGTACCTTACAATAATTATATATTTTGTTTTTTTTTAAATAAACTTGTACTAACATTTTTTTTTGGTTTGTACATATAGTTTTCTCTTAATTATAATGGTAACTAATATCTGACGATTCTTTAGGACTCATTTGATAACATTTTTTTTTATTTATCGTTTCTAATTCTATTAAGAATTTTAAGCGTTTAACAATTATTTATATTTCTTATTTCTCATTTTTCAAAARCATTCTCAAATTTATATAAAAATTTTGGAAATAACAAAAATAAGTTATTTTTATTTCTTGTTCTCRTTCTACCACTCTTAAATTCATAGTGTATTGGAGCCGCGACATTCTATTTTTCTTTATTAAAAATGAGRAAACAGAAATAAAAAACGAGAACATGTCTTGAGAATTTAATATTTAAAAAAAAGGAAACCCACTCTCATAAACATTAATGAAGATTTTGACAGAGACAAGAGGGGAAGATAAGAAATTTTGGTTTATTGATAAAAATATATTAAATTAACTGACCTGATTTATTGAAGTAGATTTTAAGAATATATTAAAATGTAAATTTCGTCTTAGCATCATCCTAATCTTAGAGTCACATCTTTAACTTTCAAACTTCTATAATGATATTTTCTTTTCACCTGATATAGTGCTCTAAATGTCTCGTCTACCCATTTAAACTCTTAACTTTATTGATAATTTATCGACTTAATCGATAAATTTGCCATATTTATTAAAATGACAAGAAAACAAGCTTATCCAATAACTTCATCGAGTTGCTATCCGTTAAGGTTTCCCTAAAAAATCATAGATACATTCGAATTAGGTATGAATAAACCATCACATAAATCACCACAGGAGTTTACTAAACACAAGACCTCAGGTTATGATACCAAATTAAACTTGAATAAACTACCAATTCATTAACCTAAAAACTTAAACGGATGGGTTTGATAAATTTAATTCATTTATTCGATATCTTAACTATATATATATATATATATATATATATATATATTATCTATTTAGCCACTCAATTATTAATATCTCCTACTTTTTTTCTTTTTTCTTAGTTTCAGGACAAGAAAGCAATCGATTATCGAGAGTGTATAAATGTGGAACGAGTTGAAGGGTTTTTCTATCTGAAAAAATACTTAATGTTGTAGAGTTAATTATATAAAGAAAAGAGAATTGAAATAATGAGAAAAAAAAATTAGAATAGTATGCAGCAAGAGTAGCTAGGCTTGCTCCCATTTCTAGTTAATTACAAGAAAATGGCATCCAACTTGTAAGTTCACTTTTTAGTTTCATGTTAAGAGGGTGACAAACCAAAGACTATATATACATTGTCACCTCTTTTACCTGTCACATTTAAGAACCATAAAAGTAGAAAAAAAAATGTCATTTCTATGTCCAATTTTCATAAATTGTCATCTGCCCTTTGTACCATTTTTATTAATTTTTGACACCACACATAATTCTATTTTTGCATCCTCTAATTAGTTGTTAATATTATGATATTGTTTATCTAATGTCTTCAAACTTCTGTCCTATTTTGTTGATTGATTTTTAAACTTTTTAATAGTCGTATTATATTATAAATAAAGGTTAGATATTTTAACTTACAATTTATAAGGAAAATGAAGATTTATTTATTTATTTATTTATTTTGTGTAGATTCTGTAATAATATGTATGTTTGATAACCGTGCTTCTATTTCATTGATATGATTTTTTTTCAACATAACAAATATGGAGTTGCAATTTGAATCTCCATCCTCAATATACATTGTATATTTGTTTCTCACATACTCGTACCAATGAAATGGTGCTTCTTTTCTTGAAGAAAAAAACATCAATAGACATTGTAGATGCCTTAAACATTAAACGTTAGTCCGCCTCAATTATACTTGCATTGATCTATTTTATAGATATGATTGGAGGGAGATTGAGAACTGTTATTACAAGAATGTATATTTAGAAACAGTACATTTAACATTAATAAATTCAAGATTTTTGAAGGACAGAGAAAAAACTGATTTCAAAACTTCTAATTCTTGAACAAATGAAAATTTAAAGAAGTAAAATAAGACCGAAACTTTCTAAAATGAACAACATAAAATAGATTTCTTTAAGAAAAAAAAAATCTAAACTTTTAAAAAGGAGCTAAATTTCAAAAAATATATATATATATACATATATATAATATTTTAAAAGGACAAAATTTTACAAAACAAAAATAGATGGAAATATATATGTGTGTTTTTTTTTTTTACCACAAGAGGGATGGGAGATTTGAACTCACGAACTCTTGGTACATATGAAGCTCATGTTTGCTGTCAGTATATATATGCTTTTAAATAATTGCAAAAGTTATTCTATTAATTTCCTTTAATAATTTCCATATTAATTATGTTACCATTCTCTTATCCTATATTTAATGTCATTTTGATTCTATTAGGGTCTAAGGTGTAAGGCTCTTTTAGAATCTAGTTTGTGAAATTACAAATTTTGGTTGCTTTTTCTTTTCTTCTATCAAATTGTTTCTAATGTGAAAGCAATCTTAACGGAGTATTTTCATTCCATTTAAGAAATGAAATTCGAGTTGTTAATATAAAGGTTAGATAGTAAACATTTATAAGCATTATCAAGATTTATAATCTTATAATTTTTATTCTAGATGTTTTATGTTGGATTAGGTATCCCTTTTACGTTTCTTTTAACTTAAGCGTTCTTATTCTATAAAATTTATCTTTTAACTCAAAATATGATTCTAAATCGATGAGATTGTGAAACAATATTTTTCACAATCGAATCGATCTGGTCTTTTACTTAGATAAGAAGATAGGAGACTTTTGTAATGAAATTTTTAATATTCAATAGTATGTTATTTTTTTATGTCGTGCATGACCACGTAATATATCAAATTTATATGAGGACTCTTATAATCATTGCATATGAGGTTAAACTTGTGATATATGATATAGTTAAACTTCTTTTGATGGCCTTCAAAGTACATTCTAGGTAACTTTTATGTATTGTAAAATTTTTTTGGTGCAGTATCCTATATTTATCTTAGTTATGTAATAATTACATATTAAGCTAAATAGGATGTAAAATTGTTTGTGTAACATTGTAAAATGTGATTTCTACTTGAACTATACAATAATTACTTTCTTCTCTTAGACAAGATTTTCTTCACTATGATCATGGATTACTAACTAATTAAAAAGGGTAAATATAATGCAAATCGTCATTTAATGAAAATCACAATTCAAAATTAAAAAACAATAAGATAAGATGTTATTAATTTTCTTTAAAGCTAAGGAAATAAATAGGCATAATGTCATGAATTTGTAATTTAACCAATATTTTGAATTTCTTTTAGGTGAAAATCATAGAGGGAAATGAATACCCCAATGGTGAAGTGTGATTGCTCCAACCCAAAAGGTGTAAGTGAGCGTATGAAAGAGTCCAAGTTAGAACCAAACCTCCATAATTATTAACAATTTCTTCACATTTCTTAAGGTCTAGACCAACAAAATTACAATTTACAACTTCGAGTCAAAACTTTTTTTTCTTTTTTTTTTTTAATCTCCATATAAGATTGATTACAATTTACGCATTGCCCAAACTCTGGTAAAGCTATCTTCTTCTGCTAAAGTTTCTGCAGCTGCACACATGGCCCTCCATATGTTGATATCATACCGACAACATATCAGAATGGAACAAAAAAACGATAGGGACATCGTGCCAAAATTTCAATTTTCTATGAATAACAGGCCAAAAATAATATTTCAAAAAGAAAAAAACATGGATACAAAAATATGAAGGAACACAATTTTTTTTGGTATAATTAAGAGTCAGAGCTTTACTATCAAGAAATTTTGATATTAAACTCACTAGAAGGTTCGAACTTCAAACCTCTAGGTAGAGATCCCACTTGTCTCTAGTTATAGCAATTTCATTAATTGACACAAGAGCACTGACCATTACACCACATGATAAGAAAGGGGAAACTTTCTACTCACCGAAACAATATCATTCATACAAATTAGCTTTCCCAACCAAGTTTTTAAATGTACCATGTTTTCTACCAGCGCTCTTTCTCAAAGTAGAAGATAAAAAGGTCGTCTTAAATTAGCTTCACATCTAAAAGTCGATTACAGTTTGCCTAACTTCCCTACAAGGAGAGGAAGGGGAAGGGGGTTGCCTCGGCTAAGTTCGAATTAATTCAAACTATTAGTGAATTTAACATTAGAAAGGATACAACTCTCCTTTTTTTCGTCGTCGTCGCTATTTATCATCTCCTCGAGAATATCAGCCACCATGTGTATTTACCTGATCAAGTTTCTGTATTCCCTTCACACGGCAACCCTCTAGATGTCTGCATCAGAAAAAATGAAAACTTTTCATAAACCATATCAAGTAAAATCAAGATTTTATTACAAATAATGCATGACATAGCTTCTTCCATTCATATCAGTAATTTCACCATTCAAGCAAGTCAACCAAGCACTCGTTTCATAGACGAAATTGTGACCGCGTTCACAAAAGGAAGTGTTATAACTTATAAAGGTCTTTTTCCGTAATTTAGTCACCTTGTTCCTTTGACAACTGGTTGTGAGTAGCCATGTTTTGCCATTTTTCGAATGAAAATCCCCTATAGTATATGACGGGCTTGATTTGAGAAAGGCAATTTTCTGGAATAGTAGAAGAGTTTTAAAGAAACGGACCCCTACCACCACTCTGCAATTCTCGTATATTTCAATCTTAATTTCGAACAACCTTACTTGAACAGGATATGCTTGATCTAGGTTGTACAACTATGTCCTTGAGTTCCAGAGGAAACAACTAAGAATTAGGAGCATGAACACATGACGTCAGTACTGAAGCAGAGAGCTGGCTTCATAATCTTCAGAGGAAACCGATATATTGACTACATAATCCAAAGGTACAATCTTCAGGAAGGTGACATCACTCAGGTACCCTTCTTTTTTCCTTCATAACCACAATTTCAGTTAGGGACATCCCACTGCCAATAATCCAGCAGAAGGGATCATGCACTCCAAATTATTCATTAAGCTAGACACCGATGGAGAAATCCTCCCCGAGCATTCCAAGCCAAAAAAAAGTCATTAAAAGCAACATTGAAATTTGAGAATAATATTTTTTAATCCTGAGAGACAATACCTAGTTAAAAACATATACAGAGGACTAAAAGAGCTTTCGGATATAATCCAGTAATCTGAGCCCAAAGTTCCCAGTCAAATTCTTCCCACATCTACAATTTTCAATCCTTCCTGATCATAGGCAGCAGTGAAGATAGAACTCTATCGTCAACCCAATCTTCCAAAAGAAGTGTGCAATGTAGTAGTAACGAACTGCTACTGTCTAATAGCAGTTTGAATATGTAAAATAGAGAAGCATTTGGCTCCACTTGGCCTAGTTTATAATGCTTAGGATCAGTCATATAATCCAGTATTCTTAAAATAACGAAAATGAATGAGAAAATTGTTCCAAGGCACACATCATCTGTCAGAAACGAGGGAGGGAAGGAAGGAAAAATAAAACCATGAGATTTCTTTTTTTTATAATTGGGAGTCGAAGTTTTGCTCCCCTATACCCTAGACACTTGCACCCACTCCAAGGCCTAGACCCGGGAGATATTAAGGATTTTTAGTACTAAACTTACCGGAAGATCTGAAAGGTTCGAACTTGAAACCTCTACCAAGAGACTCCAAACCCTTGCCAGCTAAGTTGCCCCCCTTGGGCAACACTGTTAGTCGAGCATAATTGAAAGATACAAAAATTAAACTGTACAATATTTCAGCATTCTTCATATGCTGTGCTGCAACTATCCACCTGGAGTAGTTTTTTCAGCCCATAGTTCTCTGCCTTTCAAATTGGATTGCTCTCCACACCATATTCTGAGGTATGCAGATATGTATAGTTCTGATATTTTCAAATGATATTTTTTTCTTCACCACTACAGAGGTTCGCTCGTAATCCAAATTTCATTGTTTATATTTCCAGCTATATACAGCTCTTCAACAATGGTAATAGTTTCCTCTGGCTACTTGGTTTATGGCAGTCTTCAATGCCATTTCTAATGAAAGCTTTTAATTTAAACTATAGATATTAATCCCTCTATTACCAACATACATACCCATGGGCGTATCTTCTTCATTCTGTTATTAGACTATACAACAATTATACTCATCTTACCTCACTTCTTCCCCCATCTCTATACTCTGATTCTTTCTGCAAATCAAATTTTCAATATTCAAAGGTGATGCATATATCAAAACATGATGCCCCCAACTTGAAGCATTGCAACTTCAAGTCGGGGACCTAAAACTCTCCAAGAAAATTCATGTTAAATGAACTATCACTCATGTAAAAT